TTTTACAACCTTCCTTGCCGCCGTTTTTCAGCGAATTGTCATGGTTGATAAAAGTCAGGAACAATGGTCATGAAATGAATCCGCCTTCCTCATTGACTTTGGTCACTAAAGGGGATTGCGGGACCCCCAGGGGATGCACCAACAGTCATAAGTATGAACCAGTTGCCAAGCATCTTGAATTTCGGTCCCGCAACTGTGGAGCTCCTTATGAAGTCCATAACTGTGAAACATGTTCACAAATCCCTTTTTTCCCCAGTGCCATTGTAATTTTGAACGGTCGCTAAATGAACCATTGTAAATCAAGGACTACCTGTACGTGCATCCAGGTATCTCACAGGCGAAATTGCACGCACATCTGGGTGGACTACTCCCTTTGCACAAAGCAGCTGCAACAGGATGGCAGGAATGTGCGGTTAAGGAAAGTCTGAAATTCTTTGTTCACCTGGCTTCCTCCCAACCCCCCCCCCCAACCAACATGGTTTGTGCAAGCCACTATGACTCTCCTTTAGGGGTCCAGGATGGTCCGCTCTACCGCCAGAATAAGAACCTTCTGGGCCCATTAGACATTCAAACCAGAAGCTGTCAAACTATTCCCCAGAATTGAAGGCCACCAATCTTAAAAGGGGAAGAGCTTGAGACAGGCTGCATGGGGAGCTTCGCCCCGCAGAAAAGCAAATTCCCCTCCCCTCTCTTTCCTTCCCACCACAAGGAGAAAAAAACCTGACTCCCTTTCAGCCACCAGACATCCAATCCACTTTCCCCAAATCCTGAAAGACCGGCTGCATTGTATTATTTCTGTGCTGTTGTTGGCTTATGACAGTTCGCTTAGTGACCATTTGAAGTTACAATAGCCTGAAAATGGGATCGTTTTCCAAACTTGTGTTTGTTGCAGCATCCCCCTCGTTGCATGGAATCAAAATTCAGACCGACTCGTATTAATGATGGTTGTGGTGTCCTGGGCTCAGGGGACAAGGGAAGCTGGATTCGCATGACTAAATTTAACACCTGCGATTCACTTAACAACTGAGTAACATGGGACAAAACTCGCCTTCAACACATTCCTCATTTAACAACATAAAGTCTGGGCTCAAGTGTAGTTAAAAGGCAAAGACTTGCCTGTATGGATTATACTACCTTGATCTTCCAGCAAGGGAACAAAATGGCCGACCAGCCAGGAATTCTTGCCTCTTCTGCCGTTTTCACTTTGCAGTACCCAAAAGCTGTTGGTACCCATCATCCCCAACCAAGTACAGCCTAACAGTGTTCAGAGAGTCAATTCTTTCCTACCCTCAAGCTAAAAAAATTATTTGGTTTTGAGGATTTTCTCCCTCTCAAGCTCTGAGCTTTTTTCTCTTCAATAAATGCCCATTAATATTGAAGTGATTTGGGGCCTGGGGGCAAACCATAAGCAGTTCTCGACTTATGACAGCAACCGAGCCCAGTTTCCTTTGGTAAACAAGGCTATTAGGGGAGTTGGGCCCCATTTGAAGAACTTACTTGCCATCGCTAAAACCAATCAATGTGGTTGTTAAGCTACTAAATGGGTTGTTAAGTAAATCTGGATTCCCCACAGACTTTGTTTGACAGGGCACATGACCCCAGGGATGCTGCAACCATCATTAATATGAGTCTTGCCAATCATCTGAATTTTGATCACGTGATCCTGGGGATGTTGCAATGGTCATCGGTGTGAATGCCGTACATCGCTTTTTTCAGTGCCGTTCTAACTTCAGTCACTAAACGAACTGTTGTTGAGGGCGTACCTGTATTAATAATTACCAACCGGCTAGCCTTTGGATGCTCTTAGCCCCAAACATTGCTTAATAAGTGGCACTGTTTGATTATTTATTAAGTTTTAAGCTGGCATTTCTTAACCTGTCAGTCTGTTCACCAACCTCTAACCATTGGTCTCTATCAAATTGGTATCCAGTAGGATTGTCAGCAATTTTTGCCAGCTTGTATCATCGCATTGGTGTGAGCAGCAAAGAAAGTGCCAGAACCATAGATTTGTTCACAAATTAACACAATTAAGGGTGTTGTGAAAACATAATTGCCTAGGTTCACACAATCCCAGACACCAGCTGCCTTTGATCCAACACAACATTGGCCTGGCTGAAGAGACATAGGTCCTATATACCCGTTTCCTGTGTTTTTACAGCTTTCAACGTCTATTATCAAAAGAAGAGAATATTTGCAGCTCAGGGTTGAACTGTAGGGTCCTTGGTGCCCACAGACGGTTCATGACCCAACTAGACAACTTCACCAGTGCTGTAGATAGTGCTGTAGATAGTGGGGTTTTTGGAGGAGAAAGTGAGGAGGAAGGCTGGGTGGTCCTTGGTACTCTCTGACTTGGTTGTTTGCTTGTAGACGTTTCATTACCGAACTAGGGAACATCATCAGTGTTACAAGGAAGTGGGATTTGCGGGAAGGAGGAGTAGGGGTACGAGTCCTTGGTGCTCATTGAGATTGATTTTCTTGCAGACATTTCATTACCTAACAATGGAACATCAGTGTTAGAAGGGAGTGGCATCTCCCAGACCACCCAACGATGCCCTTGATGTGATGTCTTGCTGCCTGGAGGCCGTGTAGTCTGGATGGGGAGAAATAAGCTCAGACTCAACCCTTCCAAGACCAAGTGGCTGTGGCTTCTGGTGTCCCGATATAATCAGCTGGTGCCATCGCTGACTATTGGGGTGAATCTCTGCCCCCCACAGAGAGGGCTCGCAATCTGGGTGTCCTCCTGGACACACGGCTGTCTTTAGAAGAGCATATGACAGCCGTGGCCAGGGGGGCTTTTTATCAGGTTCGCCTGGTTCGCCAGTTGCAGCCCTTTCTGGACCGGGACGCCTTGTGCACAGTCACTCACGCCCTTGTCACCTCCTGGCTGGACTACTGTAATGCTCTCAACATGGGGCTCCCCTTGAAGAGCACTCGGAGGCTCCAACTGGTCCAGAATGCGGCCGCGTGGGTGGTTATGGGTGCAACTCGTTGTGCCCATGTGACACACCTCCTGTGCGAGCTGCACTGGCTCCCAGCGGTCTTCCGGTTACCACCTTTAAAGTGCTTCATGGCACAGGACTCAGGTACTTTCGAGACTGACTTCTGCCACCGATAGCCTCCCACCGGCCAGTTCGCTCCCAGAGAGGGTCTCCTCAGAGTGCCATTGGCCAAGTTATGTCGGCTGGCGACACCCGGGGGAGGGCCTTCTCTGTGGGAGCCCCTGCCCTGTGGAATGAACTGCCCCCGGAAATGCGTAAGATCTCCGACCTCCGTGTATTTCGCTGTGCCCTCAAGGCCCTACTGTTCCGCCAGGCCGGGCTATCAATGTAATTATTTTAAATTGGGTGTTTTAAATTATTTGGGTTTTAAATCTGAGCTGAAATTATTTAATAATTTTAATTATTTTTAATTGATGTCTTTGTGCTTTTAATAGGCTGTACACCAGCTGTACAGAGTTCTTCGGGAGAAGGGCGGTATAGAAATGTTGTTGTTGTTGTTGTTGTTGTTGTTGTTATTATTATTATTATTATTATTATTATTATTATTATTATTATTATCTGCAGAGGAGGAGGAGGACTGGGTGGTCCTTGGTGCTCTCTAAACTTAATGATTTTCTTGCAGATGTTTCGTGACCCAACTAGGGAACATCATCAGAGCTAAACGGGAATGGGGATTGTGAAGGTGGGGGATTTTGTGTTCTTGGTTCTCTGTGACCTTGGTTGTTTCCTTGCAAACATTTCATGACCCAATTAGGTAATATCATCAGTGCTGGAAGGGAATGGGGTTTACTTTTTCTTTACAAACAATGCCTTGCCCTGGTCAATGTCCATGGGAGTGTTCTTAGGGTTCCTTGATTAGACTGTTGTTTACTGTTTGATTTTTGGTCTGGTATTACACTCAGTGTTGATCTCTGCTTATCTGAGTGTTGATTGCTGGCAGGGAGGTGTTTTGATCTTTTTTCCTTCTTAGCATTTGGATTGTCAATTCTGAATGGTGGATAAAGGTCATTTATCACAGTCTGCCTGTTGATGGCCTATTTTAATAAGTGCCAAATGACCAGAAATTCTCTGGTGTTTTGGGACGTAGCTTAGTCAAAAAGGCTCAAATTTCCCAGGGGAAAATGGTGGAGTTTGTCCATGTGTCATGCAATTGCTATTATTATACTTACAGGCCATCCAAATAAATTCATCACCCTTCTCCCTTCTACTGTCTTCCTGGTGGCCTTTTCTCCACCAGAACCAAATATCTGTAACTAACTTGCATCTGAATTCTGTATCTTGTCTGACCTTTACTCTCTGGGAGGTAGTCCCAGATCCAGGGGTGAAATCCAGCAGGTTCTGACAGGTTCTGGAGAACTAGTAGCGGAAATTTTGAGCAGTTCAGAGAACAGGCAAATACCACCTCTGGCTGGCCCCAAAGTGGGATGGGAATGGAGATTTTGCAATATCCTTCCCCCAGGAGTGGGGAGGGAATGGGGATTTTTCAGTATCCTTCCCCTAGAGTGGGATGGGAATGGAAATTTTGCAGTATCCTTCCCCTGCCATGCCCAAGCCACACCCACCAAGTCACATCACACCCACCAAACCACACCCACAGAACTGGTAGTATAAAAATTTGGATTTCACCCCTGCCCAGATCTAAGGCTGCCTTCCTAGCTCAACAAGAAATGGTGGACCATCGATGGTCAAAATGGGTGGCCCCAGAGCAGTTAGCTGAACAGGGAAGACAGAGATTAAAATCCATGGAAGCTCCCTAGAGAAATCATGCTTTCTCACCCTACAGGACTGCAAGAAAAAAAAAACCATGGCAAAAGGAGCCTTGAATGCTACAATGAACTGGTATCAAAGCATATAAATAAATAAATCCAGCAGGACTTCACATGGATACAGTATTCCATCTCCGGCATTTTAAGGTTCTCCCTTCTTTTTGTGAAGGTTTAATTTTCAATGGCCTGACAAAAGTTCAGGGAGAACAAAAAAAACGTATCATTTCCTCACATGCACGAGCTCATAATTTTTTAATCAAGGGAAAAAAGCACGGAAAGCAGAGACGTTACACAAATTAAAAAGAAAAAAGAAAAAAGCAAAGAACTATTTTCTTTCGGTCAACCATCCCCAAGTTTCAGCTTTTTGGGAAGTTTTCCCCCCAAGAGTTACAACAGTGCTTATAAAACAGCATACAAATCGAACATAATGAAAAACAACGTAATCCCAATCACACCTTGGGCCCTCCTCGTCTACCTTGTGTCTCTCCCCATCACAACAACCAAGTTCTCACACACGATCTCAGAGGCGATGCGAGCAGCTAAGACACAACGCATCTTCTTTTAGGAGGTCTTTTGGGTCTTGAAATAAGAGGGGAAAAAGCTGCAGGGAATTCGGAAAGTCCAGCAGTGATCTGATCAAAATCCTGTCTTGTCCTGTTTACTTGGGAATTGCAGAATAACAGAATAAGGCAGAAGACCGTGGAGGTCTTCTACTCCAAACTTCTGTTTGAGCAGGACATCCTTACAGAATCATGGAATAACAGAGTTGGAAGGGACCGTGGAGATCTTCTACTCCAAACCTCTGCTCAAGCAGGAGATCCTATAACCATTCTGGACAAATGGAGATCCAGTCTCTTCTTGAAAACCTCCAATGATGGAGCACCCACAAGTTCTGGGGGCAAGCCGTCCCACTTCTCAAACTTGGTTTCTGGGAAGACATGCCTAGTTGGGAAAGCCAAAACAGACAACAGGGGAATTCCTTTCTTGATCTAACACCCACGCCAACGAGTCACCAAGGAAGACTTCAAGATAAAGCAGCCTCTGCCACATTTGCTTCTAGGTCCACATCCTTTGGGACCTTCTAAAAAATGAAACACAGAGTTGGCCACAGACAGACTGAATGAAGATGAAGGTAATCAGTCAGCACATTTGCCTAACAACAAAGGATCTTTCGTGGCTTATCAAAAGCTGACTCGGGATCTTCAAGAACTGATCGAAGGCTGATTCAGGACCTTCCAGGGATGATAAATGATTTTTCTTTCCAATTGAACAGAATCAGCCTGATTCACCTAGGAACACAATCCACAAAGAAGGGAAACTACAAACAGGAGTTCAGCCGCATCCCCCGATGATGCCCAGCCTAGTGAGTTGAACTTCTGCACTTGAATTACGGATAAGCTGAACTAAAACGGCCCCAAAGGGTGAGGTGGGGCGAAGTCCCTGTTGCATCGATGGGTCAGGAAGCAGGTGTCCCTTTCAGGAGAGCCAAGGGCCGCCCAGCAGTTTCGGAGGCAGACACCGGAGGCAAGGCGCAGCTGTGCTGCAGAAGGCGCTGCTTGCAGGCGAAAGCCTTGGGGCACAGGCCGCACTTGTAGGGCTTCTCCCCCGTGTGGGTGCGGAGGTGCTTTTGCAGGTGGTGCTTCTGCATGAAACTCTTCGGGCAGAGCGGGCACTGGTGGGGCCGTTCCCGTGTGTGGGTGCGCTGGTGTTTGGCCAGGTGATGCCGTCGGACAAAGTGCTTCCCGCAGTCTGCGCAGTGGAAGGGGCGTTCTCCTGTGTGGGTCCGAAAATGATTGGTCAGCTTGCTTTTGTCAGTGAAGCTCTTCTCGCATGCCGGGCATTGGTGAGGCCGGGCACCCGTGTGGCTCATCTGGTGACGTAGCAGGTGATCCGAGCGCCCGAAACGCCGGGGACAGTAGGGACAACCCAGGGGGTCCTTAGGGATGGGCTCGGCAGGTGCTTCCCGGTGGGTGTTCTGATGGAGCAGCAGCTGGACGTGGAGCCGGAAGCGTTGATGGCACAGAGGACAAGCCCACAGCTCCTCTCCCGGCAGTCCGACTGATGGCTGCCCTGTCTCTTGAGGGGACATCAGAGGGCTCCCGTTCACAAGCGGTGAGGACAGATTTCGTCTTGAAGAGGTGAGGCTTCTGTAACTTTGCGGGCGCTCTTGGTGGCCAATCTGACATTGCCGGTGGACATTGGCGGCTGCTTCTTCAGCCGGACTGCCCTCGTTGGCGCTGAAATCGGCTGTTTCTCCTGGAGAGTCCCTCGGCCACATACAGGAATCGAAGTCCTCTTCTTTCTTTATAATTCTTTCCACAAATGTTTCTCCCGCCATCATCCAGGTCTCGTGGGCTGCAGAGTCGTCCTCTGGCTCCATTTTGATTAAGATGTGATTTGTCGCGAGGGCTGCGGGAAATAAGGACAGCATAAACCCAACATTCATCATGGTTTAGTCCCACCACACAAATAGGAACGCACAGCACATCCCAAAACCAGTTTTTTGCAACTTTGGCAAACTTCAAGATGGGTGGATTTCAACTCCTAGAATTTCCCAGAGGCCTAGGGAATTCTAGTTTAAATCCACTCATCTTGAAGATGCCAGGGTTGAGAAATACTGTCCCAAACCCTACCATTTTCTTTAAAAAATGCTTTTTTTATTTAACAATTAATGTAAATCAGCATTTCTCAATCTCAACCACTTTCAAATGTGTGGACTCCAGCTCCCAGAATTTCCTAGCATGCTAGCTGGGGAATTCTGGGAGCTGAAGACCACACAACTCACAAGTTCCTGAGAAACCATGCTGGGGATCATCAACAATCCTTTGCTGAGAATTGATGTTGAGGGATTCAACAAAACCCAAAACTCTGCAGTAAACTTGAAAAGACCGAAGAGAAGAATTGGGGTGAATGAAAAAAACAGACTAACATTTAGAGGATTTTGAGCGAATGATTCTGGGAGTGGCTTTTGCAAAATGGCTCTTTCTCTAATATAAGACACGGATACTACAAGGCTGAATGCAGATCACGCCCAGCAAATACAAGTCAAAAAGGCTTCCTTATTTTACAAGGAATTTGGGTCCTGTGCTTGACTTTCATGGATGGTGGCGCATGAGGACAGCTGAAGGAATATTCTCGAGTCTAGGCCAGATCGCTTGATGACAACAATAATAATTTATTAAATTTACAGGCTGCCCAACTCTAAGTGAGTTCAGGCAGTTTACAAATTGTTACAAAAATACTTCAAACATTTGAAACCAAGTAGCAATACAAAAAGCAAAAGGAAAAAGATGGTGAAGGAATACACCCAGATCAAAGGAGGGAGGAGGAGGAGGAGGAGGACTGTAAGCTCTCTAAGCTTGGTGGTTTTCTTGCAGATGTTTTAGAACCCAACAAGGTAACATCATCTATGCCAGAAGACTTAGTTAGAAGGCTTCTAGCACTGATGCTCTTGCCTAGTTGGGTCATGAAACGTCTGCAAGAAAACACCCAAACTCAGAGAGGATCGAGGATCCCATAGATGTCATCGCCCTCCTCCCCCTCCCCGCAACACCCACCCTTCAAGCACTGATGTTGTTACCTATGTAGATCATGAAACATCTGCAAGAAAACTACCAAGCGAGTGAGGGACTCGGAGCTTCCATTGTTTCAGAGTTTGATTCAGAGACCGACATCAAAGGACACCAGAGAGTTAAAGGAGCACCAATTTTAGTGGATATGATATGGACATTTAAGGTCCCGCTTTGGACTTTTGAAAACTATAGATACAAACATTTTAGAGCAAATAAAAAAGTTCATTCAAAACTGACATACACAGATTTGCAATTATTTCAATGGCTGGAGTCACTCTGCAACTCACACATGACTTGCCGGTTTGGGTTTAACCAGCAAATCCCGGCAATTCGGGGAGCCGAAGAAAGAATTTCTGGCTTGTTTAGCAGGTGATGCAACCAAGATACTGGTTCCCTCTGAGAGGAACAAACCAGAGTAACTGGTTTGTACAACACCCTAAACCTTCCAGACCGAACCATTTCCATGTTTGCCAGGCTGAAAAAGTTAGTAGGAAAAATGATGTTTGTTTATGGCTAAGTCATATCATTTAAGACATCCCCCCCCCCGCCCCCAAAAGGACAGTTTTCCTTAAATTCTTTCAATTTGTTTTATATTTATTTATCGGGGTTTTTATTTTTAAGCATTTAAAGAATCAACCACTTCTTAATGTATTTTGGAAAAGGATTTTGGGGCAGTTATAAGTTGCTCCTGTTTGAGTAGTGCGGTGGCCTAGAGGTGGAGCTCTCGCTCTCATAATCAGGAGGCTGTGAGTTCCATCTTAGATAGAGGCAGATATTTCTCACTCCGAGCACAATGAGAATATATCTGCTGAACAAAACTCCGCATTAGCGTCAGGAAGGGCATCTGGCCATTAAACACTGCTAGCTTTATTCAGTTGCCCAGACTCCACCCCACAAGGAATTATGGGGTTGTTAAATGATGATGATGATGTTAGATGCCCTGTTCATTTAGACAGTTTTACACAATCCAAAAATTAACACACATGCCCCTCAACTCTGATCCATGGTCAGGGGGAAAAACAAGGACCACACACAAAGCCATTTCTTCACATCTCTAATTTATTTCTCAGTTTCCACAGAACGACAAAGAAAAAAAGAAATCCAGAAAATATACATTTTAAAAAAAAAGTGTCCTCCTCAGACTCATTTGAGTTCACCCAATAGCGAACCAAGAGGTCACCTCTGGACAGTCCCCCGTCTCCAGGACTTTGACATGGAGACTTTGTGGTTAGGGGAACAACACAATACCTACAGTATTGTACACTGCAAAGAAGACTGAAACGACAATCCTGGAAGTCCTTGGCTACTACCCCTTTTGTTAGCTTTCGCCGTTTGGAAGCATCGTTAAGAGACCCCGTACAAAAATGCCTCGCTACAATAGAGCGCCAACGTCTCCGGGAATCTGAACTCCGGGCTAGAGAGGGGGAGTTCACCCAGAACACGTCTTTTTGAGGTAGCGTGGTGTCCTCACAGGAGCGGACTAAATGAAGATGGCGTCCAGCAGGGCTTCCCGGACAGCCGTACCCATCAGCCTGTTCTGCTCACGCAGGTGGATTTTCTGGTGCTGGAGAAGATGTTGCTTCTGGGTGAAGCTTTTATCACACTCGTCACAACGGTAGGGCCTCTCTCCAGTGTGGATGCGCTGGTGCCGGACCAGATCCGAGGGGTGGCTAAAGTTCTTGCCACAGTAGAGGCAGGCTAGGGAACTGCCACCACGCCCGGAATGCAGCCGCTGGTGCGTGACAAGGCTCTTCTTTTGGGAGAAACTCTCCGGGCACCGGCTGCAGCGGTACGGTCGTTCACGCCCATGGCTCTTGGGGTGCTGTCGATAGGCCGACTTGACATTGAAGGTCTTCACACACTTGGCGCCGCTGTACGGCTTGTCTGCTCCAGGACCCCGAGGAAGGGGCTTCAAATTATGGCTTTGCTTGAAGGTCTCCTCGCAGGCCACCGAGGTGTACCCTCCGCCCCCGGTGTGGATGTGCTGGTGGAGGGTGAACTGCTGCTTGTAGGTGAAGCTCTTTTCACAGGCCGCCGGTGCAGCAGCATGGCTTTTCTGGTGGCACACGAGGCTCTTGTAAAGGCGGAAACGTTTCCCGCAGTCCGGGCAGGCGAACATTTTGTCCTCTGGGCGGTCATGGGAGTCCATCAAGGCATCAGGACTGCCGAAGCCGCCTTCTCCAGCCAAGGCCTCTTCTTCCTGTCCGGGATTCTCGGCGTGCCTTCGCTGTTGTACAAAGTACCGGCTGCCGATGGAGGCTGCTTGGGGGTGAGCGTGGAGGAGCGTCTCATCCGTGCACTTGAGCCCCAAGCTTTCGCACAACGCTCGCTGAGCTTGGAGCACCTCGGCTTTGAAGGCCAACCCGTCATCTGGGGGGATTGAAAGAAAAGGTCATGGGGCATGCTTCTCCCAACGGACACGGATTTATCCACCCAGCGGGCTGCCCTGGTCAATGGGCTAGGAAGACCCTCTTTGTGCACAGCTGGAAGACCCTGCGTTCCAGCCTCGTCGCAGGACACCTGCCTATATGCCACACGAGGGAACCCAGCCTCTTCCCTGCCCTGCAGCAAGTGTAGTTCGCTTTCCTTCTGCGAGAAGGAAATGCCGCCGGATCTGGCTGTGCATGATGGGAGGAAGCCAATCAGCTCTTGCAGGGACCTCGTGGGGGAGAAGATATGCAGTTGGTCGCAAGAGTAAACAGATACACAGACGCTACAGCAGCCGTTAACTCCAGAACTGGGTTGCATAAGTCAGTTTTGATAGGTCTGGCATATTTGTGAACCGTCACTAAGGTTATCCCAAAAGTGCTTTGCCAAAAGGCAACTGAGACTTAGAATAACTTTATTGTCACTTTAAATGTACACACATCGACATACATTAAAATGAAATTTCATCACATACAGCTCTCAAAGGGTCACTACCTCCAGTGTACACTACATAAACATGACAAAATAAAAAAATATGCATATACCCAGACATATTATATGACATGTATAAAGTCCACAACTGGACTTTCTTGCTTGCTTTCCTTGAAAACGTTTCGCTTCTTCAGTTCACTGAACTGAACTTCACTTCATTCTTCAGTTCATCCCGGAAGAAGCTTCTGCGATGAGAAGCGAAAGGTTTTCAAGGGGGAAAAAAAAATCTAGACAGTCAAGTTGCCTTTTGGAAAAAGAACATCTCTGGGATAACCCTGATGTGGAGGACTGAGACTCTCTGTAAACGTTGCTAAGGTTGAAAGTCTATCTGTAATTCATAAAGGATTCACTTTATGGCCAGGTGCACTGGGCACATCGTTGGCATCACTGTCCACCTCACCCTGGATCATTGTACCCCACCTGGTCGGGAACATGACTGTGTTCCCAGAGCAGGGGGCAAGCAAGTAAGTGCGTTTTAGCAAGTCTTGAATACGGAAAGACAAAAGGGAGAGAAGCAACATTGCCGTCCTTTGTCCCACACCCCAAGGCACCTGCGGGAAAAAGTCCGAAATGGAAAGGGGGTTAGCTTTGTCCTTACATGAAGTTCTTTGCTCTCCCGGCAACTCCTTGCAGCTCGCCGACCTGCTCCTCCCAGCCTAGGTCTTTGTCCAGGTGGCCTCTAAACCAGCCTCGTTCAATCTCCGGAGTCTCCACCTCGGAGCCTCCAAGCCTCTTGGTCATCCTCACTCTGGCCTCTGCCACCCTCTGCCACCAACTCCACCCTGGGGACATGCCCGGAGGTCCTGCTCCCAAGATGGACCTGCATTCATTGCCTCCGTCCCAGGGATCGGTTTCCCCTTCCCAGATCAGACGAGGCATCTGATCCACAGCATTTGAGCAGTGAAACCACATCAAAAATAGCTCAGCCCAAGATAAGGGGCCATGGTCTAGCAAGGAATGGAAGAAACTCAACCCTAAGACAGAAAGCAAACATGATCCACTCCTGACCATGGACATGAACCCCGAGAAGCTTCAGTTTGTCCCATGAAATTTAAAGGATTGAACGAAGACAATGGGGAAGGGGATCTAGTGGAGAATCTCCAGCTAGAGTAGAGGGTGGTGAAAAGAGATCCTCCCCCTTAAGACCCCCCCAAAGCCTTTCTCTGCCTCTTCCCATGTGAATGTAGTTGGTCTGGCAAGATTCTTGTAAATAGGCAAGCAGCAATCAAGAAGCAACTTGGATCGGCTCACGGCATTATTCTGTTTTTTTGCGCCCGACGTAAACCCAGATAACAAGATTGCCTTTTGCTAGCTTGTTCCTGGGAATGCAGACCCACTCCTTCCTCCGTCCTCACCTGCTTTGCCCTGCCTAAAAGGAACCCAACCGGTGTCTGTGTGTGTTAAATACACACTGGACATAAAGTGAAAGTAAGTCCACTCCCTTTGCTTTGGACTCTACATCAACACCAAAGCTTCTAAGGTAACTGCATCATCTGTTGTGAGCCTTGAGCGTTGGGGGCAGCGGTCCCCAACTTTTCTGGCTTGGTGGCCCAGGAGGGGGGAGGGAAGATAGTTCCTTGTGAGTGGCAGGCAGGCACAGATAAGCACATGCAGCTACATTTGGGTGAATGGTGGGTGCTCTCAGCTGCTGCTTGAGCAAAGGGAGTTTCACACGCGAGCACTTGGGCGAGGAAGCTTCATGTTCTAGAGCCAGCGGCTGCCGCTCACGTGAAAGGTGCGCTTGCCTGCCACCTGTGTGGCCAGTTCTAAACAGGCCACAGCCCGGTAGTAGACCATGGCCATGAGTTAGGGACCTTTTGGTTAGGGAGATGGCCACATCTCTGGACATGTCCCAAAGGTGCTTTTTCAAAACACAACTGGAGTTATCTTGGGGGGTTTTCCCCCCTTGAAAACATTTCGCTTCTCATCCAAGAAGCTTCTTCAATTCTCTGAGAATGAGAAGCAAAACGTTTTCAAGGGAGAAAAAAAACAAGAGAAGTCCACTTTTGAAAAAGCACATTTGGGATAGTAGTGACCTGGATGGTGGAGAACCTCCGTAGACACTTCTGGACACGGGTTCTAAACATTGTGATGGGCATCCCAGAAGGGACCGTTGGGAAAGGAGGCGAGACACAGAACACCCAGAACGTTTTAGCCTGCGCAGGGAATCCTCAACTTATGACTATAATTGGGACCAGAATTTCAGCTGCTAAGCAAGATGATTGTCAATCATGCCTGATTTTTACGACCTTTTGGCCGCAGTTGTTAAGCAAATCATTGCAGCTGTTAAGCAGATCATGCGGTCATTAAGTGAATCTGGCTTCTCCCATTTGCTGGTCAAAAGCCAGCTGGCAAGGTCCCAAATGGCAATTCCACAACCCCTGGGATGCTAACAACCGTCGCAAATACATGCTTGAATATTGATCACGTGACCGAGAGGATGCTGCGACGGTCGAAAATGCAAGGACCAGTCCTTAGTCACTTTTTTCTTTGAACTGTCGCTAAACGGATGGTTGTTAAGTCGAACACTCCCTATATCCAGAGGATACTAACGCACCCTGAACTTCCTCCAAGAATTCACACAAGAGAGAAAGCAATGAATCAGAAACAGAGACACCAATCAAAGGAACGTAACCGGGCCAAAGGACCATGACGAGCTTCTCGCCTCCCAAGTCTTTGGGCTACAAGACTGGTGGGGAGACATGGGTGAGGATGGTGGAGCTCATTGGGGGTGGAAAATGGCCTACAAAGCAGCAGAAAGAATGCCTGACCCCTGCCTAAACCCCAGAGACCATTCTCCACAGCGGACAGACAGGCAGACAACCTGGAAGGAAGAAGTTAACAGTGACCATCTAAAGGAAAGTCTACAGGCTGGAAAGAAGAAAACCACAGAAAGCCTCAAAGCATTGATAATCAACCCCCCCCCACTCCAAAGAGGACCGTCTTCTCAGGTGGGGGGATGAGAAGATGCAGCCCGCCCACGCCCCCAGCAGCTGGAATGGAATACAGGTACTCCTCAACTTACGACCAAAGCAGAGCCTAACATTTCCACTGCTAAGCGAGAGAGTTGCGAAGGGAGTTTTGCCTCATTTTCCAACCTTTCTTGCCACTGTTGTTCAGTGAATCCCTGAAGTTGTCGAGATCGCAACACGAATGTTAAGTGAATTTGGCTTCCGGCTGGACAAAAGATCGCCAAAGAGGGACCATGTGATCCCCCCCGGAACACTGTAACCATCCTAAATAGGAACTGTTTGCCAAGCATCTGAATTTCAATCCCATCGCCTTGGGAATGCTGCGACAGTCGTTAAGTGTGAAAAACAAGTCACAAGTCCCTTTTTTTTAATGCTGTTGAAACTTTGGTTGCTAAACGAATGGTCGTAAGTCGAGGATTGCCTGTATTCAGGAGCGTGCCACCCACCTAAAGGAGGTTGTTATGAGTTTAAATGACAGCAAATGGGTCTGAGTTTTAGCAACCAGGAAACAGCTCACAGTTTGAGCCCAGCGACAGGAAACAAAAATACAAGGACACAAAATGAAATGCAGGCACGATCTGAACCGTCTCTGGTGTTCTCACATCTCCAGGCCTGAAAAACAATGTGGTTCCATCCAGGAAAATACTCACCCATGCTTGGCGGGACATGCATCTCGCCTTTGTCCGAGAGGTCCGGGCCCTCCACATTCCGATCCAGATCTCGCTTCCCTTGGGATCTGAAGGATGTCTGAGCGACTTCGTCATCTGTTCAACCAAAGAGAAAGTGATATTCATGATTGGTTTGGAACCTTCCTCCTCTTCCCGCCGAGCATCTGTATCCTGCATGCACCCCACCAAATCAACTGAAGCTCTTCTGAGCTCATTTCTCTTACTAAGCAAGACGGTGTCTTGGAATTTGGCCCCATTTTATGACCTTTCTTGCACAGTTGTTAAGTGAATCACTGCAGTTGTTAAATCAGTCACAGCTGTTAAGTGAATTGGCTTCCCAGTTGATTTTGCTCATCAGAAGGTTGCAAAAGGGGATCACGTGAGCCCTGCAGACACTGCAACTGTTGTAAATGTGAACCAGTTGCTAAGTGTCGGAATTTTGATCACGTGACCGCAGGGAGGCTACAATGGTTCTAAGCATGAAAACGGGTGTAAATCTCCCTTGTAACTTTGAACAGTCACTAAATACTGTATTTTTTAGACTATATGAGGCACTTCCCTCCCCCCGCCCAAAGTGGGTAACGTCTGTGTTCTTATAGAGCGAATGTTGCCAAAGCCCCGCCCACACACTGGCCTTTCGGCCTCTGCCTCCCAGAATTTGCCTCCTTGCAGCAAACAGCAAACAGCCTGGTCCGTTTCAGCAGACTGACTTAGCACAAGCAGCTGATTGGCAGTTGGATCTGCCTCCCGGAATACCTCCAATCAGCTGTTCCAGGCTGCGGGGAACCACCCATTGCCGCCACCCATCGGCGCTGTTGCCGCCCACTGCCACCACTACCTATCACTGCCTCAGCGCATCCCCTTTTCGGCCTCCACATGCCGTTTTCAGCCTCCACGTATCCCATTTTTGGCCCGTTCCAGGCGGCGGGAATCCCCACCGCCTAGAACAGTTATCAGAGGTATTCCATGTTAGAGTTTGCAACAATTCAACCAGCACACAAGTAAAGAATTCAGCAGGATTCATTTATATAAGAAACTTCTTTATATACAATATCATACAGCAGAAGCGAGAACCAGAACTCAGAATCCAGAAGTACAGAATCAAGAATCACAGAAGCTACAGAATCACAGAAGCACTCATATATCTATAGATCAGTGAACCTAAGCCACACCCGGGCTCTGAGCCATCTGGGTCACCAAACAGTCCCGAGTGGCTGATCTGTTACAATGTCTGTTCGAATTCATGAACCCTTATATATTGACATTCCAGGAGGCAGGTCCAATCGCCAATCAGCTGCTTGTGCTAAATCAGGTTGTGCTGAAGCTGACCAGGCTGTTTGCTGTTTGCTTCAAGGAGGCAGAAGCCGATTTTTGTTTTGTTTTGTTTTCCTCCCACAAAGCTAGGTGCATAGTCTGGAGCATCTTATAGTCCAAAAAATATGGTAAATGGTTATAACTCAAGGACTATTATTATTCAACTATGTCAATATATTTTGCACTGAATGTTTTTCTGACGAATGAAAATCAGGATGCCGTTGTAACTTCGAACGGACATTAAGTGAACAGTTGTAAGTGGAAGACTACCTGTATTTAATTATAGGTAGTACTCAACTTACGACCATAACTGAGCCCCAAATTTGTGTTGCTGAGTGAAACACTGGTTGAGTGAATTTTACTCCATGTCACGACTTTTCTTGCCAGTGTTAAATGAATCACGGCAGTTGTTAGTCACACGGTTGTTAAAATTAATCCGGTTCCCCCATTGACTTTGCTTGTCAGAAGGTCACAAATGGGAATCATGTGACCCCGACACTGCGACCGTCTAAATATGAACCAATTGTCAAGCATCTAAATTTTGATACCATGAGCACGAGGATGCTACAATGGTCGTTAAGTGCGAAAAACAATCCTAAGTTATTTTTTCACTGCTGCTGTAACTTTGAATGGTCACTAAATGAACTGCTGTTAAGTCGACAATTACCTGTATTGTAATATATTTTGCATTCAATGTTTTTCTAAAACAGAAAATGTGCTTTCTTCCTTATACTGTTTCTTTAATCCCCATGTATCCAGAATTCCCAAGTATTGCAACATCTTGACCAGCGAGGGAAACCCGAAAAAAAGATTTTATTCGGCATTTGGCAAGATTCTTATTGGTACGGAGCCCCTTTTCAGGCGCTGCAAACCACCCCAAAAATCTGCCAAGTTTCCAAATGCGGTTAGTTGCCACTTACCAATGCCGGATGCTTGTGAGACCCCTCGTCCTTCCCCATGTTCCCCTTCTCTACCTCCTTGTGCGTGACCCCCTTCTTCCGCTGGAGAAGAGAGGCAGGGTCTAAAAACCAGGATTTCTGTGTTGGATGACATAACAGAGAGGTTGTGATGACCCGGGACAAGGCACAAAGGCCTCACAGCCAGCTGAGAGTTCAAACTTCCCTTTAATGTTCCAACTTTCCTCCCAACGCTCCCACGTTATGCAAGCCCCAGAGCAAAACACTCTCACACACAAAATAGCAATGCTTAACGCATTGTAAGCCGCCCTGAGTCTCTGGAGAAGGGCGGCATATAAATCAAATTAAAAAAAAAAAAGAGCAGCCTCCGGCTACACGCAGTCCAGCGAACGCTGTTAGTACAATGGCTTCAAAACAAGAAGTCCAGCAAGGCAAAGGAATAAAGAAATGAATCCACGAAGCAAGGAAGAAGCAAGAAGTCCTGCAAACGCAGACATCAGCAATGGCACACAAAACTCCACAAACTCAGTGTTTCTTCCCGACAAACCCCCGCTCCCCACAGCTTCTTCTTAAGTCTCAATCCCCAGGTGTGCCTTGTGAAGAGAGGCAGGATGCTCTCCTCCCGAGTTATCAGGTCGGCTTGTGCTGTAACGGACTCCTCTGCACTCTCCATGTTCGGAGATCAGGAAGGGTTGGTGGGCTTCCGATACTGATGTCATAGCAATAAGGAACAGGGTTAGGAGCTCTCCTAGATACCTGTTCCCTTTTTAGCGTTTGGCGGCTTAATTTGGCCATTGCCGTTCGTGTTTAGATCGGCAAAAGAAGAGGGGATCGCAGGGTGACCGCAGGGTGGTGCGGACCCCTCAGGAAACCCTGAAATTTCCCCCCCCCCCGAGGTGCTGAAGCTGAAAGAAGGCATCCATTATGGTGCCCCTAAACTGTGAGTCTGCCGCTATCTGAAGTCTATTATCATCATACTATAACCAAAAAGCGGCTGGTAGCTGATATTGAAGATCGAACTTTATTGTATTACTTCTATCTATATCGCAACGGACATCTGACCTATCAAGCCAGTGATCGGGAAGCGGCAAGGAGGAGGAGGCTGAAGACAAAAACAGAAAAACTAACCGATGATTGCTGAGAGCTGCTGGTTCGGACGAGATAGCTGCTGGAGCGAGACAGTCTGAAGGTGATCGTGGAGCTGCTGTTGGATTTATTGGATTTTTTTATTTCCTACTTGCTTATTCAAATTGTCCCAGACTGAGCTGAGTTGAGTGGTGGAAGAGGACTACGGTGATTCAGCTATATGATCTAAGTCTCCATTAGAGTGATCGGGAGGGAAAAGGAAAGAGGAAGTTGATAGACTGAGTATTCCTAGTGGAGTCGTAATATATAAAAGACTTGAACACCATTTTGTGGCTGATACTGGAACTGCACTTTGACTGCTTTTTTTCCCCTCCTTTTTTTGACTCTTCTTCTCCCTCCCAACCTGTTTCCTTTCTCAAGCTTTAAAGATTGAAGTTGAATAAGTTTCAAGATTATTAGCTATAAATTACTTAAATTTGTTTTTTGCTAAATAGCCTAATTGATATTGAACCAAAGCCTCTAGATTCATCAAGTGTTCTAAATTAATCAGTTGGTGGTTGATTGATATATTTATACATAACTAAGATAGGATCGATTATTTGTTTATCTTGTTGAACCCCTCTAATTAGAATAAGACTAGGGTAAAGATATACGCTGTATGTTAGAGTGGAGCAACCTTTTTTGTCCAACAAAGATGGCTACAACCACAATTACCACCAAGAAGACACTCACAGTACCACCAATATCATCTCCAGTTACGACCTCCCCAAAGACACATAAATCACTGGAAGATATGACATCAATGGCATCAGTAGGGAAAGCTTCAAGTACAACTGGAATACCCTCAAATCTCCATGACATTCTCAAAAAACTACAAGATACAATGACGACAATGGTAAAAAAACAAGAATCAACGACTAAAGGAATAGATGAATTGAAATCAGATGTAACAGTGGTGAGGGATGAGTTAAGGCAAATGAATGTCAAAATGGAAGAGATGAACTCGACAATGGTGTCACATGGGGAGCGGATTGTGGAAATGGAGACTAAAGTGGGGAAAGTGGAGGAGAAGATGATGCGACTGGAAACAAGACAATCTAGAGTAAATAGGAAGTTGGAAGACGAATTAATATTTATGGAAATGGATAGGGCAGCCTTCTATATATGGTTTCAGAATATCTCAGAGGACAAAGATGAGAACTTGGACCAAATTATGACAGATATGGTGGCAGAGATTACAGGGAGAGACAGAGAAGAAGTATATCGATATATAGATGAAACTTTCCGAGTATATACCAGTTATGCTAGACGTCATAATTTACCAAAAAAAGTCCATGTACGATGCACCAAGAGGACTTTATGTGATGAAGTACTACAAAAAGTGAGAGATCAAAAAATAACATATAAAGGACGAGAAATAGTTAAATTACGTCAATTATCAAAACAGGTAAGAGAAATAAAGAAAAATTATGAATTTCTTACGAGGAGGCTTCGGAAGACTGGGATTTGTTATAAATGGCTATTACCGGATGGGCTGATTATAAGATGGCAAGATAAGCGGATATGTATAGAAGATCTAAGAGATGCGCAGGAATTTTTTGACATGCACTTTAAAGCTGATAAGCAAGAGAGCGGGGAAGAGGTAGAAAGTGAAAGTCAAGAAGAGATGCTTGAAACGGAAGCGATAAAGGAGCAGAAGGATTTAAGAGAACAAGAAGAAGACCAATTTACTGGGGGCTCGGGATCCCAGATGGTGACAAGACAGAAAAAGAAACAGATCAAAAGAACCAAATAAACAAACTGGCAGGAGACAGACTTAGGTTAATATCAATTAATATTAATGGATTAAACCTGCCAAAAAAAAGGAAGAAAATACAAATGAAGTTACAGTGGGGGAGATATCAAATAATAAGCTTGCAGGAAGTACATATCAAAAAAGGTTACCAGAATTTACTCTTATGTCCCAAATTAGGTGATTTATTTGTATCCTTGGCTGACCAAAAAAAAAGAGGAGTTGCGATATATATACAGAAACATTTGGAACCCAAAATTTTTTTTGCTGATGAAGAGGAAGATTCTTGCTGGTAGAAATTAAAATATGCCAAAGGAAGGTTTTACTAGGAAATATATATGCCCTTAACTGAAACCAGAAAAATTTTTATAACATGATTTATAACAAACTAAACGAATTGGAGTATGAACATGTTTGCTTAACAGGCGACTTCAATGCGGTTATAGATGCCACTAAAGATTATGCCGGGGGGGTGGATATGGGGAATAGGAAAGGGGTAAGGAAGACACTGCCGTTGATATGTGACCAAATTCGGGATGAATTAGGATTGGAAGATGTTTGGAGAGTTGCACATCCAAGAGAGGCCCAATTCACGTATTTCTTCCCTAGACATAAGATATGGCCCAGGATAGATATGATTTGGGCTACTCCAGAAATATTAAGATTGGCTGTAGAAATAGAAATTGGACCAAACAAATGGACAGACCACAATCCAGTGACAGTAAGTTGGAACGAAAGAAAGTGTAGGGGAAGATGGACAATGAGAACAGATCTGGTAAGGGAGGAGGACTTTGTTACGGGATTGAAAAAAGAACTAAAGCTTTTTTACGAGGAAAATAGATGAGAGGATACCTCGCTACAAAATACCTGGGATACTATGAAAGCGGTTATAAGAGGATATTCAATAAAAATTTCGGCGCATAAATGGAAATTAGAAAGAGAGAAGAGGGGCAAAATTTTAGAAGAATTGGAAAAGGAAGAGCGGGCATTACAAGTAGACCCGAGAAATGAGAAGATAAAAGAGAGAAAAGAGCTTCGTAAATATAAATTATCATTACTGGATCAAGAGGAATTGGCGAACAAACTTAAGCGGGGGAGGCAACATTTTTTTGAACATGCTAATAAAGCAGGTAAATGGCTCTTGTATAGGCTAAGAAAAGAAACAGAAGCAAAGAGAATTGATGCCTTAGAAAATGGCGAGGGAAATCTCGTGGGGAATGTGGAAGGGAAAAAGAGGGTGATTACAAAATTTTTTGAGAAATTGTATCAAAAAGAGGGAATACAGGAGATGCAAGTAAGGGCATACCTTGAAAACTTAAAATTAGCTAAAACCCCACAAAATATGAAGGATATTCTTAATTCAGAGATTAGGGAAGGAGAAATTGAAACTGTTATTAAGAAGCAGAAATGTGGCAAATCAACGGGACCGGATGGATTGCCAGTTGAATTATATAAAGAGATATACGATATACTATTGCCAAATATGAAAGACCTATTTAATGAAGTTCTAACTAAAGGTATAGTTCCCAGGTCATGGATGGAAGCTTACATCACGTTGCTTCCAAAGCCTGATTCTGATCAAAAACAGATTAAAAATTATAGACCCATCTCCCTACTAAATTCAGACTACAAAATATTTACATCAATATTAGTGTCAGCCTCCGCCTTTACTGCTTTGGCTGCCATAGTAACGGGAGGGGGGAGAGCTAGGTAGCATGGAGGGGGAAGCATGCTGGAGGAATCTGGAGAAATCGAAAGCGATAGTTAAGCCACCGGACTGTATCTTTGAAGCTGCTGTCGGGTCAACGGTGGTGGCATTCCTGATTGATGACGCTGCCAGACGTGTGCTTCCACCTGACCCCTGGAAGACCTTTGGATTGGATGATTTACGATGGACAGTGGGAGGGGATGCTTTCTATATGCAATTTTCGCGCTTATTGCCTTAGATTCTGCTTTCCTTTGGTTGCGTTCACTTCATTTTCTAGTAAAAGTACCTTTCTCTATAAATAATGGAGTTTGGGTCATTCTTTCCTGGACTTTGAAGGAAGCACACCTGACATTAAGCAGAATCTCATCTCCAGCCATCCTGGACAAACATCGAGGGGGCTTAACCCAAAATATGTCTGACCAAGAGAGTGAAGAAGACCAGATGGGAGCTTCTGGCTCCACTATAATTTCACTTCAAGCGGAGAAGGAAGCTGCAGAATGGATGGAAAAAATTTAGCTGAGAGAGGAGTCAGAG